CCCGGGGCTGGGCTGGGAGAACTGCCCGGCGAGGCCCTCAGGCCGCTGCTGGGCCCTCAGGCCCCGCTGGCCCAGACCCCTATGAAAGGGCGGGGGGGGCGAGGCCTAGGGAGGCCCGAGGACCACCCGCGATGGCCTCACAGCGCACCCTGTGTGTTTGAACGGCAGCTGATGAGCAGCCTGGCTTTGCCCATTCGTTTGCTAGATTGCTGCCTATGCTGCCAAGAGTCCCGCGTCGTGCGGCTGGCAAAGGGATCTGGCTCCCGCGGCGCTGCAGATACCGGGCCAGGCCACCAGCAGCCCAGCCTGTAATAGCTACCTTACTGCTCGGTTTCTGGCCATTTTAAAACCTAGAAAGTCTTGCCCGTCCTTCCCCATCTCCACATGGAGCGCATAAGGTTGTACTCTGGCTCAGAGCTTGGCAAATGGCTTGGCTCTTGACAGGCAAATGGTTAAATACTTGCTAATTGCGTGCTCGTATACAAAGGGTGGAAAAGCAGGGTGCCCGACACATTGCTGTTTTCCTCCCAGGAGCAATGGGAGGTGAGGCACGCAGCCAAGGTGGGTGTTTTCTGCGCGGATAAGGGGGTCTGGCTGCTGGCGTCGTGGCTTAGACCCTTCCTCATCCTTCCCCGCCTTCGGAGCCGGCGTCCTGGTGCGAATCCAGCGAGAGGCTCGGCAGCGGTGCAGGTGCTGAGGTGGGTCTGTGTAAACCCTGTCAGCAGAGCTGGCAGCAGCCACGGCAAGCACTGCTCACGTGGGAGCCGAGACGATCGATGACTCCATCCTTTCAGTGCTGAAGTGGAATGTTTGTGGCTTTTTTTATAGTCGTCTGAGTTTGTGGACAAGAAATACGCAACACCGTGAACAATATCCAGTAAATAATGAGGTCTTCCCAGATGGACTTCAGGCCAAGTAAAATAATGCAACTGGGCCAGATGCCTTAAATTTCCCAGCTATAAATTGTAGCAGTTCACCTGCTGCATGCAGTAAAATACAAGTGAAGGGGCATCCCTTGAGATCTGGTGTTTAAACCTGTGGAAATAACATCTCTCTTCAAAACACACAGCCCTAAATAAAAGGTAACGTAACTTAAGGATGCTGTGGACGTGAAAAAAGAGATGGACAACAGGTGAGAGTTACTTAGACAATTTTATTTATATCCCCACTCCCCAGTAACGGGGTTCTGTAGCTCTGTTCCTTGTGTAAGGACTTCACTATCAGGTTTCCCACACCATGCAGGAAGGAATTATGTTTGTTCCATAATAATAAAATCTGTCCACAAAAGCTGTAAACATTATTTTGAGTCGTTTGTTATTGTCTCCTTCAAACACACACAGTATTTGTACCAAAGAATTTCTAGGTGACCTTTAATGTCTAGTCCCTGACTCAAACTCACACTTTTTTTTTTTTCACTTTTTTTTTTTTTTAAGCAAAAACACCTTCGTGTGAATGATTTTGTGCCTGATACCTGCCAGCATCAGCGCACTCCCGTACTTCCAGCCCCTTGGCTCAGCAAGTTCCCGAAACGTGCCCCGTTACAGTCCCCCGGGGACGTTAAACCTTTGCAAGGCGCAGCTCCCGCTCCGGGGTCCCCTGCTTTTGTACCCTCAGCAGCCCACAGCCTCGACCCCCGCTGCCGGACGGAGAC